TGGTCCTTATTCCATGGACCCATCTGGTAACGCTTCGTGGGTTACAAATATTCTCATCTATATTGTAAGTGTAAATTCGAAATTTGAATCATAATAATACTAAGTATATGCATTCTATATATATAAGAAGGGGTCTAGACTAGCTAGAATATTGCTAGAAGTTAAATTAAACTCAGTCAAAAGTATATACACGGTGGTCCTTATTCCATGGACCCATCTGGTAACGCTTCGTGGGTTACAAATATTCTCGTCTATATTGTAAGTGTAAATTCGAAATTTGAATCATAATAATACTAGGTACATATATGCATTCTATATATCTATGTATAATGCCTGCGAGTCGTTGGTATAGCGCAGTTTCCATCTTTTCATACAATGTTGATTATTATATTCAATTTCATTTTATTCTTCTTCAATTGAATGAATCATTTTGGTAAAAACACGATCTAACGCTCTACGAATCCTTCCAGGCGGACGACAGGCAGACAAATGGGCGAATAGAGAGATGAATGGATATACGTACATATAAGAAAACGACCTGTATTCATGGCTTTGGTAATGTCTCAACATGAAGTTCAATTAGATATAGTCTTAATTATATATATTACATATCTACATATATGTACATATTACGAATTTTCAGTTGAATGTTGTATACCCCCAGCTATTCTTAGCGCATTAAAAAAGGGGAAAAAAAAACGAAAAACAATTTCGACTCAATTTCATTTAAAGTTTCTCTTTTAGAGTTTATACTTCACAGTTCTACTTTAAGTATTTGATCGTAAACCAATTTCAATATCGTAACGTTGGTTGTTTTCAATCAGAAAAGTGTTTTATATTTATGTGAGGCATTTAATGCATTTTCCCCCATTGAATCATAACAAAGGCTCGCATGCATCATCGAGCTGTAAGTTCTTCGAGCTGTTGACTAATTCGACTAGATGCAACTATTTAAATAGGTCTTCGATTGTTAATCGAATACAAAGACTATATAAACTTTTAAATAAATGACGAGGATTCCATTTATTTTTCTGTTAGCCACGAACGTAACTCGAGCTATGAAATGGGTTTTATTTTGTTCTGGTACATCATAAAAATGAGGTACTTTAAACGTGAGTTACTCGAGTGGGTACGGGAGGGGAGAGGAGAGGAGGCACAGATTTGATTTGTCCAGAGAGTGATTTATGTGAACGAAACTCTTAGTTTATTACTTGCGGGACAGAACGAGGTAAGATTTTCAGCTATTGTATTTCTAGTAAAATGTTTGTTTATTTGCATTTAATGTGCTCGACTTGAATTCAAGACCCTGCCAGAACTGACCTTGGGCCGGGACACCAGAGCTGCCCGAATGCCCGAATGTCCGACTGCCTGGCTGGATGCCTGGATGGCTGGCACTTTGGGTCATTTACTCGATTGCGTTTAATCGATTTCTTTGTAAACCCGAAACCAATGTCAACAGCCCCAACAAATTCACAGATACACAGCTACTCACAGATAGACACAGATACAGATACACGGATACAGATACACAGATACACGTATACAGATACAGCAACACAAATAAGCAAATTTCAAGTGGAAGCTAAAGAAATTTGCTTCTTCTTCTTTTTTTTCTGGTCTCGAAGCGCAAAAACATTTACACACTTTAACGAAGCAAAAACATTTGAGCAAACGGCCAAAAAATAAGAAAACGAAAACTAGTGAGCGCTGACAAAGCTGACTGCGTAATACCCGCTCATGGCACGATAAATTGCTTAAAGAATTTATATCTTTGGAATAAAAGAACGAATCCTAGTGCGTTAATTGGAGCTTTTACTTTAGATATAGATTAATTACTATCCAAGTAAATAATGTGTCAATTCCAACTTTAAAACAATATTGAAGATATATGATATGAATATAATATATAGATATTATATAGATATAGATTGCCATGTCTCCAAAAAACGTCTATATATGATTTTAATAAGAGAGAGCAGAGATCTAAAGCAGATTTTAAATGATTTACAGACAACATATGGAGGCAATCAAGGTCTAAAGATATTTCTCCAAGGTACTATCTGGGTTTCATAAACTAATATACTATAATACGGAATTAAATTTGTTGTCGAGCATTTGTGAGGCTACTTACGATTCCAACGAAACGCATATACTCTGTTACACTTAGTGGACGGGTATGGAAAAAGAAAAATACAAATAGAATTCAAATTCTAGGACAAAGAGCGGCGAACGCGAAGCGAGCGTCAAGGATGCAGCAGGAGCACAGGAGAGGGAGGAGCCACGACGATGTTGGCTTAAATTTGCTGCCTGTCGCATAGGTAAATAAGCAACAGTTCTACACACACACACACACTCGAACTGTGCAAATGTATCCACAGTAAGCATTTGCGACACAGATGTCCTTGTCGTCCTTGTTGTCCTTGCTGCTGCTTGGGACTGTGCAAAACTATGTCTAAGTCTCGCCTGCCTCGTTTTCTGCCTTTTCCTGCTGCGCTTTAAGCATTCGGCACACAAATTTCTAGTTTCAGTTCAACTTTCGAATGCTCCATTTCGATTTCTCATATTGGATATTATTCCCGTTTAACGCGCAATGAACACGCCCATCGCCTTGACGAATGGGCGTTATCTGAACTCAGCTCGAGTAGAAATTTATGTGGCATTGCCTCCGGTCTATAATAAGAAATTCTACGCACTCTGAACCGACTATGGGCTGTACGGAATTTCGGCTCGTGCCGCGCATATGTGGCTGAGGAATTACATTCTGAAACAATTTCAATATTTGATTTAATTAACCTACTTTTATTTTACTGCATGAATATATATTTG